TTGGTCTGCCTGTGTGGGTACCTGCGCAGGTGTGGGGTCACCTGTGCCGGTATCCCTGACAGCGCCGCAGCGCCAATCACAGGTACTGATACATTATCCTGGTGCTGTCAGCTTCCTGGCGGGCTCGGCACGTGGAGCTGCGAACACGCCTGAGCCCATCAATAGTGCTCATCAGAGCATGGTTGGGTGCTGAGCATGGAGGAGTACACAGCTAAGCAAAGCTGGATACTGAGCTGAGCAAGGCTGGGTGCAGAGCTGTGCAAAGCTGGGGACAAAGCTGAGCTGAGCAAGACTGGATGCAGAGATAAACAAGTGCTGAGCTGAGCAAGGCTGAGTGCAGAGCCAAGCAAGGTTGCTTGCAGAGCAAAGCTGGGTGCAGAGCTTAGATAAGAAAGGTCAGATGCAGAGCTGTGCTGAGTGAGGATGGTTCAGAACTAAGCAAGACTGGGGGCAGAGCTGATCTGAGCAAGTCTGGGTGCATTGCTGAGCAGCGCAGATCTAGGCAGTGCAAGAGGGATTCAGAAGAGAGAAAAGCTGAGTACTGCAAGAGGGGTGTAGAGTTGAGTGGTTAAGGAAGGAGTGCAGAGCTGTGCAGTGCAAGCGAGGTGCAGAACTGAGCAGTGCAACAAGCATGCAGAGCTGAGCACAGCTGGAGTTTATTGTGCTGGTGGTTATATTATTGTGTTGTGGGTTATTGTGGTGCTAGGAGTTATAATGGTACCCGGGGTTATTTTAGTGCTGGGGTTATTTTAATGCTGGGGGGATTTGCTTGCCCTGACACTTGCTGTGGGTTATTGCTGGGGACTATAATTGCTGGCCCTGACACTTGCTGTGGGAAATTTCTGGCCGTGACACATTCTGGGGGTTTATTATAGCTGGCACTGACACCAATTGTGAAGTTTATTATTGCTTTTACTGGCATCAACAAGGGGGTTATTTTACTCCCACAATATCCTCAGTGTACCTCCAGGCCCTATTTTGTCAAAACCATAGCAAAGAGAAAGGGAGAAAGGTTGCCTGCTACAAGCTTTACACTGTGAAGTTTTCAAATTAGTATATAACAAAGCTATACAAAATAGGAAAAACAGATGATGGAAAAAGTATTGGTGAAATGGCATGTGTTAATCTGCCAGATAGGAGGAGCAGATGGTGCTATTCTTTAGATGAGTGGATTTTCAAAAGTTTTCTCAGCTCCTTTTAATTACACTCTTATAGACTTTTCAATTCAAATCACCATACATTTCATAACTCATAAAAGTTGCCAAATACACTATGCCACTGTTTGTATTAGAAGCAGCTGTCTCATGCAGCTGTTTTGCCCTAAGCATGCACTAAGCCTGGTTGATATGCAGGAATCAGCTGTTTTTATATACACTGACTGACTTGATTACATGCAATATAGTCTTATTATATAGATGCTGCATTGTGTTGGCAATATTCATATCTATTAAAAAAACTTAAATATGGATTAGATTAGTCAATTCAAACATATCTTTTAGTCATCTGATTATGGTCACAGAGAGTTTTTGACAAAATGGTGATGATTGTAGATAGAGATTAGGTTTTTCTAATTTAATACTTTTTATATCACTTCTATATATTTCATCACATGGAGCATGATACCATTTTAAGCCTCTAATTACTGCTATGTGTTTAATTTTTACCAAATGGAACAGGTGCTTCTTTAAACTCCTTCCCCTCAGTCCCAGTAACATTAAATTATTAGAATTGTTCTATATGAAATCCAAAGAGGGACTATTTTTGTCACTCAGCATGGTTCTAGATTCAGACTATCTAGCCACTGTGACTCAGATAGAAATCTGAAATGCAGAAGATAATGAAAATGTATAATGGAGCACTGAAAGTAATACCATAGATTACAGTTTAAAACAATTAAACAAATGTAATTAAAATACATTCAATTAATTACAACAAAGCATGCATAGAATTAATGGAAGTTTGTCAGTTTACCTGGATTTAAGTATTTGGTTCCTTTTGCTTATATGCTGTCAGCGACTATAGTTTAGTAGCAAATTGAGTCTTGTACAAACGTATTCAGATTAGAATTTGAGGAAAGTCACCCTTCTTTCTTGGTCCTTCACCCATTAATTGGGTCAGCCTTGATGAATTAAATCATTAGTTGCTGAAAGGTTACCATTATTCTGCTGTCAGAAGGCAACACTAGCAAGTACATCAACATGGCCAGCTCTCCTTTTTTAGCATTGCTGTCTTTTGCCGTAATACTACCATACGCTAAACACATCATTCACATAATGCATCACCAACACAATGAAACAGTCACTTAACTACCATTATATAAGCTTAAGTGTTCCATGTCCAGGGTTTTTGCTATTACCTAAAAGTTATCATGCTGTCTTACTGTACACATTGTACTATGTACCTGTAGATGTTCTATTACTGCTCTTTGTTCTAACAAAATCAGTCTGTAGTGAGCAGTGCTTTAAACCAAACTAAAAGCATTCTTAGATCATATTCCCTTCATATGTACATTTATGAAGGTTTAAAAAAGTCAACTTAGTTTACCATATTATAATGTTATGGAAATATTTGCCTGAGAAAAAATTATTTAGAAAATGGGGAAAAATGTTGTGTGTGTTAAGGGTCATTCCACCCAAAACTGCAAAGTTAGTTGTAGGTGGGCTGAATGACTTATTTTCCCTCATCTCTTGAATGGGGACAACTTAAAAATGTCCCTCATTGTTCACCAGAAAAGTTAGAGAGGGGGACAATAATTGCAATAAATATCCACCTAGAATAAAAGGTTTGGGTTTAGATATACTTTAAAGTGTTCTTAAATCCAAATGTTAACTCAAATGTTAAAAATTAAGATCACATTGAAACACTTACATGAATTCTTGTTTAGAAATCCATGTTGCTAACAGTCAGTCTAATTCAGCACAGGATAATTTTTTGTTATCTCAAATTCTGTGAGCCCTGTCAAATCGTATGGGCGTAGTGACCGGTCTCCCCAGGATAGTGTTAAATATACCTTGCAGGGAGGCCATGAGATCCGCGTCGGCCTTAGCTTCTGGTAGGCCCCGAATCCGCAGATTATTCCGCCAGTTGCGGTTCTCTTGGTCCTCCACCTTGTTTTTTCATAAAGGAGGCCTATCGTTTACAAAACAATCTACAGTGACTCATTTCTTTTTCAATGACACAGTCCATCCATGTTTCAGTCAGATAGCTGTGTTGCAAAGCAAGTGGGATCTGCTGTGCTGTCTCTCTAGTTAACCCACAGTGCTTTTGACGTCATTTCTGTTAAATGTTTATTTGTAAAATAAAGATTGTATATAGTAAACACACAGATACTAACCAGTCTAAAACTAAAGAAAAGTTTCCCAAAACCATTAGCATTTTCCTTAAAAAACTACACTAATACTTTTAACCTATCATTAATCACAACACTAAACAACCTGCGTCTACTCCCAACATTATTCTGTTTGTGAGCAGGCACATATCTGCTGTCTAGAAAAATTCCACAGTATGTTCACATCATGAAAATGTGCACCTTGTTTGCTCACATCCTTTTACTTGTTTTGATAGTTTCCATTGTAACTCAGTTGAGTACTCACTGCTTGCTTACTGTAGTGCAACACTGCAGTTATAGATGGTGGTAAACATTATAGTGTTGTGCCATTGGACCTCACCAATGTTCCTTCAGTAAAGGACTGAGGTACAGAAATTAGTGTATCTAACTTCCAGGTCTAATAATAAGTAAAACATAATAATTACGATTGTAGATTAAGCTTGAGTGCCTCTTTCTTCTGTTTTATAATTAACCTCAGATCTGAACTTTGTGATCGATAACAATGTACAGTATATTTGATTTCACCATGTTAACATATACCCATTTTATTTATTTTTACAGAAAATATTTGCAAGTTATAGAATTTTCAGAAAATAGTTATTGGCAGGAGGCATATACTGTATATTGTGCTAGAAGTTTTTTCACTTAACTTTATTGCTATCACACAGGGCTAAGAAGCGTTGAAAGTGTTTAGATTTGACAGGTTCTCTTTATGGAGACATCAGCGGTATATAAGACCCCCTGATATCTTTCCTGCCCTCCAATACATATAATCAAGCACAGGAATGTGCTTGATCGCCTGTGTAACTGGCACTTTAGAGGCTTCTGACAGCTCTGAAGCAGAAAGCACTGAGAGTACAGTGCTTCCTGATTCATTGATTATAGAGCAGATTGGGACATGGACATTCCTCAGTCTGCTCTCGCTCTCCATCCTGACACTGTTTAGATTGATCCAGGACCACCCAGAGGAGTGGCAAAGCCAGAAAAACCCTGCAGGAGGGTGGGGTGTGCAGGGTGATGGTACCTTTTAGATGTAGGTACAAGTGATAAGTTGGCTCTTATCACTTGTACCAGCCACCCACACCACACGTACTCAAAATCCCTCCACCTGCTGAAAAAAATGACACCAAGCTCATGGCTGCACCTGCAGCCATTATCTGTGTATACACACTTCAAGACCAGAACATACAGGTACATGCTATGGTCCTGAAATGGATAAAGTGTGGGTCCACATGAGACCCCCAAGTAAAGCAAGCATGAGTACAGTGATGATAGTAGGCAATGGTCTTGCTTTATTAAAATAAAAAGGTTTTAGTGTATTTTGGAAGTGTTCCTCTTTTTATATATGAATATTACTGTACCTTGGAGGTTGCTAGTACAATGTCTAGCTGACTGATTTTTAGTTTTGGTGACTTTAACTGGGCTTTAAATATGACTGTTTAAAATAAACTAAAGCTTTTATGAATGGAATATGGACAATGTTTAAATTCTCTACTATTGACGTTCACAGTATTATGTTTATTACTAAATTACAAGTGTGAACACTTCTTATAACATAATTAATCATATTAGGGGTAATACAGGGTGCTGTTTAATTAATGTACAAGACCTATTGTCAGAACAATGAGCTAAACCCTTTTCACTTCTTTTTTGTTTTGAATTATGTGTTTAGGAGGAACCATTAGCAAACTCCGAAACGATCCAGTCAGAATTATACATGATGCTGTGGACGACACTACGGATTGGATATATGCCATCTTTTCCACTGTATCAAACCTAATATCATTTGAAGAGGAACGCAAAGGTATAAAATAAAGCACTTAGTCTTTTGAAATGCAGGCTCTTCTTCCCTATACTGTACACATCATATTTATAGTACACAGGTGTTTGTGTGTTGCTTCTGAGTTGCATTTGTCTCGCAGTTTGGAAGGATCTGAAAGGCAGTGTTTGAATTTTGAATTGGCTCTTATGGCTCAGTGTTCACTTGCATTTATTGTTGCTTTTACAGTCAATCCTATTGCTTTGCATTAATACCGGTCAGTGTAAAAGCATCTCACACATATCACAAATGCAAGCCATCATCTGAAAATGTGTTACTCATGACTTGCTTCTGTGTCTTATGCATGTGTACACTAGCCTCACACCTGCTTTATTTTGTTGTAATGTGTACACGCATGTGGTGTACTATTACAGAGCTGTGTTTCAATACTTTGTAGTCCCATGCTTGTTTAACTTAAAGGGGTTCCATTTTAAATTACTTTTACAACACACTGCAGAGAATATCTGAGCATGTATCAAGTAATTCTGGTTATCACCTACCTGTATATATTCGTGATAACTTTACTATTTACTTATAAAATATGTTATACTTTATTTGCTGAAGACTTTTCATTAGCAGGATTGGGAATTTTTTACAACATATTACTTTATTTCACTGCCATAAAGTTCAACTACACTCAAAAAGTATGCCTCCAGAAAGATGACTTGACTAGCATGTAATGTTCTTATATCAGTTTGTGACATATGTAGATACAATATTTCCACTATAACTTATATTTCTATATATTCCACTATAACTTATATTTCTGCTACTTGGGGCAACTCGGCAGTATTGCTAACATTATCTTATGGAATTGCTTTCTTGGTAGCTGGATCAACTAAATTAGGGATGCACAGATACTTTTTGAGTACCAGTGCAGATACTTGGCATTTTCATGAGAACTACCAGGGTTGCAGCTGTTGCAGCTGGGACCTGGCTCTGGCGCTCCACCACTGTCCTGAAATCATTAGCCTGTATTGTTTTAGAAAAACTGTCACATGACAATAAACAAAAATGTATCAGTACTCGTACTTGTAAGTACTCGGCAAGTACCAGTACTCGTACTCACAAAACTGGTATCTGTGCCTCCCTTTATTTATAGTTATAAAAACAAAATCGTACATTAAAACAGAGATGTACAAATCCCAGGAGCTCCGTGTGCTACTTACACATGACAGCTGCCTCCTAACTTTCGAATTTTTCTCTAGTGTAGTCTTGGAGCTCAAAAGTATCGGTACATGTACTCGTACTTGTACCGAGTACTGTACTTGGTATCTGTGCAACCCTAAACTAAATGTTTCACTTCTCTCGCTAGTGAGTGAAATTGTGCAACATTTGGGGCTAGTAAGGTTCCATGGGGGTAAATCATTTCCTTGCTTGGGTAGAATAACCTTCTAGACTATACTTTTTTGTTGGTCCCCAGGTGCTACTCCATAGAAGCCATTGTCTTATATTGCACTGATGAAGGCCAACAAGCCTGAAACAGCTGTATGTGGTTTAGAATAATTAGCTCTGAAGGGTATATGGGGTATATAGGAATAATTTACAAGGCTCTGCTCACTATCCTCAGATGGAAAATAAACCCCATAATTTAGAATATATGATTAAAAAAGATGAGTTAAAACATTCATTAAAATATCAGTTTTTGACAACCTTGGCATTTGGAAGTCCATGTAAAAATTGCATAAAGGACAGTGTAAACAAGCTTTGGGATTCATTGGCATCAGTTTGAAACACTTCTGGGATCATTCAAAATTCATTGACAGGGGCATTTGTCCTGCAGATGACCTCCTTCTGAGCTGTATTTGACCTACTTTAAGCAGGTTTTGAATTCCCATATCAGGACGTCTTAAGACGCCCACCCGCTCTGAGCAGACTTCCGTCCGGCCGTTCACGAACGGCCATGGACGGAAGGTGGTTAAAGATAAGTAACAACATATTGTTATGTTGTGTTGTGTAATCGTAGTGGTATATTTCATATTATTTCTATGTTAAAAACCTATGTTATAACTTTGTTAAATGATTGCATAAAAGTATGTTACTCATTTATTAATATTTGTATACCTGCTACCATGAAAACAAAAGACATCCTTTTAAACAATGGCAACCTTGAAAGCTCATTTACAGCAGCAAATATTCAACATGATTTTGTGTTTAAAAAATCAATATAAACTTTTCTAATCAATGTTAAAGGTAGAAAAATGTATAATAGATTCATTGTGTAAACTAGTTTTAATGCAGAGTGTGTGTTACATCAAACATAGCATCAGAGATTGTTTACAACATATCAGTGCTAGTATATCTCGGATTAAAAGAAAACTGTGATGTAGTTGTTTGTATGCTTTTCTTTGTTTGAACAGTATGTGGGATTCTTTCAGATGCTCAGCTGCTTAAATGCATAAGAGATCTATTTGCTGATTATAAATAATCCTGAATAAACAGTTTTCTCCAAAAGATAAACTGCAGAGATTTTCTAAACTTTATATTTTTAATTAAGCATGTGTAAATCAAAAACTAAAAGGCTATGACTTGAATTTCAAATCAGGTGATAAAAACAATTGGTATTACAAATGCTGGAACATTTTAACTCTTAAGGTGCCCATACTCCTTACGATTATCGTACGATAATCGTATGCGATCGACTTTTCGTACGACAATCGTAACGTGTGAATAGAGTGCCCGACCGATAGTACTGTACAATCGTACGACTTTTGACGGTCAAGCATGTTTGAAAACTTTGGTTGATCGTACGATGTTCGCATGGTTGGTGGCGTTTCCGTCCGTCAAAAGTCGTACGATTAACACTGCGCATGCGCAAACGAAAATAATTGCGGTCAATTACCGCAAGTCGTCCAGGTGTTTTTTTCTAACTACCGCTGATTGAACCTTGCGATAATCGGGGCAGGATGGGGCCGTCGTACGAAAATCGTACGACGGTTCGATCATCGGACGAAAAGTTTAGTCCGATAATCGTAAGGTGTATGGGCACCTTTACTGTTTCTCTTTAAAGATTAGATTTCTTCAAATATGTTCTTTCAATAAATCTCAAAATCTGCACCAACCATCCAATGTATCAGCCATGGATCCATCACCATGTTATTATTTAACGTTGACATTCGTTTTTGTGTGTATTTGTATATATATATACAGTAGTATATACATCGGTCAATATATGAGTTACATACAGTATATTGCTGCATACAGGAGGATTGGACAATAACAAAAATTTGTATCTATGGTATATATACTCCCACTCCTATATTATAATGCTTCAGTTTTTGTTAGTGTCCTCATTGTTTCCTGGCAACTGTTTTGTATGGTGATTGGTCTGCCCCTGACAAACTATTTTCACCCCAATCCAAAAACAAAAGAAATAAAAATCTGAATCTATCCATTTTTATGGTAACCTACTTTGAGGCAGTCCTATATGCACAATTCTACTTCAAAGCATTGTAACTGAAAATTCTGGCTGCATGGCAAAAATAACACATTCTCTGGATAATAACTTATGTCTGGCAACCCAGACCAGGTTCAGGTTATGCTGGGCCTGGTGGGTCAGAAATCCAGCACTGGGATCAGGGAAATTTTTCCTGCCACCATTCTGGAAGATTCTCATTATGGATGCCAGCGGGGCAGTCTGGGAAGTTCTAACTGTGGTGCAGGGGACTTGGTCACCACAGGAAGCTTGTCTCCCAGTCAAGATCCTGGAGCTACATGCAATTCAGTTGTCCCTTCATTGCTGGACCTCTTGCCTGCACAGTCCTCCAATATGGTTTCAGTTGGACAAAACCACAGCAGTTGCATACATTACACATCAGGGGGGAACCAGAAGTCTTGCAGCTCAAAAAGAAGCCAACCCGATTCTGACTTGGGCAGGACTTTATGTTTTAGATCTGTCCACAATGCACATCTAGCCATGGAAAAGTGGCAGACAGACTTCCTCAGTGACTGGACTCCATGGGCTGGCACCTTCACCCAGTGGTGTTTTTAAAATCTCTGTTGCGGGTGGAGAACACTAGTGATGGGCTCGATGTTCGAGCCGAGCGTGAGTTTGACTCGAAACATCGACAGTTCATGTGCTTGGCAAACACATGAAGTATTACATAGTATTTGAGGTTGAATAAAGACACAAGTTCATCAAGTCCAACCTATTGCGTGTATCGTCCAAGAGCTTCTTGAATTATTCCACACTCTTAGCTGAAATCACTACACGTGGCAAAGGTCAGGTGCAAGATTTTGCCCAATCAGGGCCCAGTACTCTGTAAGAGCCATGATTGGGCAAAGTCATGATGACTTTGCCCAATAATGGCTCACCTGTGAGATGCCGTACATCTGTAAACAGTTGGGCAGAGCTAGCTTTCACCGCCAGCTCTACCCAATTGTTTTTATGTTGCCGGCATCTGTCAAAATGACATTATGCGGCGGGAGTTCGTCGCGGGCCAATGGGACGGTGGTCGTCGTTTTAAAAAAAATTATTATTTCTATTTATTTTTATTGATTTATTTTTATTTCATCAAGTTGTCATCGCCGTGGACAATGCTGGATGTCATGATTAACCCTTGATTACGTCGGTGGATCCATTTGTGGGTTTTTTTATTTTAAAATAAAAGACTTCATGTTTACTTCTTAACCACATTTTCCTTCAGACTTACTAACCTCCTTATTCTTCTAAGGAACATCCTACCTCTCATCCCACCACTTCTTGGTGGAGTAGGCAGCAAAAAAATGTAAAACCCATCGAATCAAGGATAATGTTTCACTTTTAATGTCAAAGCGCATTCTTCTAGATTAGTAAGCATGCCTTGGGCTTTTCAGCATTAAGAATCTGTTTTCCACATTTTCAAGGCTGGCACCCGGTCTTTTGTTTCTATTCTGTTCTGCCTTACAAGTTGGATGTGCAGAGCTCATCTATTCCAGCTTCAGACATAAGGCCCTTCAGGCCATTCTGTGAGCTGCTGATAGCCCCCACTTTACTTATAGTTTTT